CGTGGATTCTATGAGAGTACACGTGGCTCCGTATTTTCGACGCGCGTGTAGTCACATCTGCGGAAGGGACGAGAAAAAAAAATAAATAAATTGTGTGGCAGTACCCCAGGCGCGTGAAAGTTTCTTTCTCGTCTAAAGGTCTCTATGGAATGTTACGTCGCGTGACGTAGTTGGCGTGGCGGTATTTTATTCTGAAATTTTCGTGTACTCTGAGGTAGCTTTTTAAGCTTGCGGCTTATGCTCCACAAAACTCGAATACCACGACGTTTAGTTTTTACCGCGATAGCGTTTCTTCTTATTTTATTCATTTCCCGCTTTTTTAGCGCCACATCCATAACGATCTAAGTTACAAAAAGTACATAAATTAAAAGAGATAATTACAAAAATAATAATTTGACGGTGACAAGTTTTTGCATTTAAATATTGTTTCTACAGTACTTTATTCATATTTCAAATAAAATGCAATAAAAACTATTCACTATCATACAGCAAACTAAATAATGGAATGTATACATATTGATAAACAAATAAGTTAAAAGGTTAAATAAATTAAAATTGGAGTAATCATTGAATAAGAAAAGTCTTAGGCATATTAAGATTATAGAACCTTGTGTAACGATTGTCTGCGTTATTTCTTCTTTATTGTTGGAAATTTCGCGCTTTTCAATGCGCGCGTTTTTGATTCCGTTGCATCGGCGCATAGTTCGCCTATACAAAGCGGGGTGATATAACATGGGCATAGGGGAATACGAGAGAGAGAATACAGCAGAACGGGGAGAGGAACCCTGGTAGCGTGCAGTCTATCAGAGATTAGCGGCTCGATCCATTAGGGAGTGATTTAGCTCGACGGTCCCCGAGCACTCTCTGCCACCGTTCAGACAGCGCCATACTAGCCACGCCATGGTTCCACGCGTCACCATACCATCATCCTTAACACTAGTACAAATCTCGTATATGAACATGCATACCTGATCCAAGATCGTAGTTAGCTACATCGTTGTACGCAGCAAGCGTACGTTGCTTCATATTATAAATTCTATTCATATTCGCGTTAGAAATTTTCTAATTGAAGTGTGAGATTCAGTAGTGTTTCCCTTTTTCAGCTTAAAAGTAATAAACACCCAAAAATATTTGAGATAAATAAATATATATTTTTTTAATAATTATATTCATATTCATATTTTTATATCTTTCAAGATAATCGTTGTGTTTTGGCGTTTTCTTCGGGTTATTTATATATTAAATTAACAAAAATTCTAGAGCGAACAAAAAGAAGAAATGGGAGCAATTTATTTAAAATTTTATTTAAAAAGCCAAAATTATTTATATAATAAATGTCTCGTCTACAAAATATGAGTTGTTGAAAATAAGTTTCTTTTCTCACGTATCCTTTATTTGCGGTTGGAGAAACGCAGACGAATTCTAGCCTATGAGAACAAAGAGACATTTAGTGTATGTATCTATATCTATATATATATTAGAATAAATGGATCGAGGACGCAGAGAGGCGAAACCTCGCGATTAGGTTCCATGATGTGTCGTGCCTAATTACAATAGGCAACGCTTCTCTCTGTCCTAAATACAAACATCGAAGCTAATGCGCATTGCCGACAGGCAGATTGCCGGATCGCACCTTATACCGGTCTGTCAATATCTGTCGATATTGCTAGCCGTTAGGAGTCTGTTTGTATTTACTGCTGGTTGGACGGCCGATAGCTTGCAACAGCCAAACGAATAACAGCATAGCGCATGCTCCCAATCGAATAGGCTGATTTACACTGATCCTTGTTTAGAGATTTTTTGCAATTTTTTGATATTTAAAAATGAAACAAGGATTTTATTGTAAAAGTAAATTAATTGTTGCAATAATTATTGCTAATTTTATATATCTCCTCTTTCGTTCTATTTAATAAAAAGTAATAACTTGTCTATTTTATACACCGAAGCTGAATTATGTACATTAATAATATAAAAATAGATGAAAAGATGTTAATAAAACAAAATAAATATTATAATATATTAGTTCTACTTAAAATGTAGGAAATGTGTGGAATATGTTAGAGCATGTGTGCATAATATTTTAGTAAATATTACATGTTGGGATAATTATCAAGATAAAAAAGCATTTGATTAAAATTTGATAATCTGCGATAAAATATTAATAGCATTTGAAAGCAGTGTTGCAAAATTTAAATTATTAAGTATTCTGCATTTTACTGATACTACACAAAGTATTTATAAATAATATTTTAGCACATTTCTCACGGTAAATATTTCAATAAATATTTAAAATTTTTGTCATAAGCATTATTTAGTCTATGGATATTGTAGCACGAGAGAAAATTTAATTTCTGTTTCATCGATTAAGTATATAAGCGCAGGACTAAATACAATATAACATTTTAGTTAATTATTTTCACAAACATGTACCGTTATGAATGGCAATTTGCAGCCCGCAGTGAAAAGCGTTTTATCGTGAACTGCCTACAAAGCGAATCGAGTAATCCGCAAGTTATAATAAAAAAATATATTATGCTATAGTTTGAAACAGCATTTCAACCCTCGGACAATGAAGTCGAGATAGGTAGAAATAATAGGGACATATAGAGAGGGGTACCTTTTTGAAATGCAAGCCAATTTTCATTGTCCAGATTAATGGACGACGCAAACGAATGGCGCCAAATATCGCATATTTTCCAGATAATATGCAACGCTCGTAAATAATAATAGCTCCAGGCTTTCTTATATAAAAACGATCATAGATAAAGATTATACATATATATTTTATAGTACTTTTAAAAGCTTAGTATGAGAAAAAGAGATAATTGCTTTAATAAATATTATGCTAATTGTAATATTATTCTTTATAAGATGTTGAGAAATTTGTAAAAGAGTACGTATGATAAAAAAATGTTTTTGTACAGTTTAATATCACAAATAAATCATAAGAATCGTTACTATGCTTTTATTAAAACAGACTTTTTTCTACTTCGGTATTCACTTCTTCCTTCGTTGTCTTTAACAGACAAGTATAAATGAAGACATCGTTATTAAGAAATTAAAAACTAATTGCAATCTTGTTAAACAAGTTAGCTGTAATTTCCAATCTCCCAACTTGTGAAATTGGACGTCTCGTACTAGAATTAAGTCCAATTCGATACTGTCCGTCATGCCTCTTTCAGCATCAAACAGTTTCAAGACGTTACAGAGAGTTATAAGAAAACTTAATCGCTCCGTGTAAGCAAATACAATTTTGATGTCGCAATTTCGATGACAGAATTTTACTGTCCGCCTCGCGACCGCTAGAGTTGCCTAAGTAAATGAGATGGAAGGACAGCCAATTACCAGCGAGAGCAATTACCGAGAACAATTAACGCAAAAGTTACAATAAGTAATTAGTACCTCCGCAAGCACTTGCTTATAATTAACTTACGTGCAGCTGCGTTTTCCCATTATCACCTATTTTTCGATGTTAAGCCGGCGTTGGTTTCTGGCACGATGCTGACTACGTTGAACAGTAAAAAAAAAGAGAATTGAAAAAGATGAAATTCCAGACTCTCGACCGCATCGTTGTAGACTGCGGAAAAATTGCGGAAAAATTCTGCCCTTTTAAACAGAAAACGTGGAAATGTTTAGTGACAATGGATAGTATTTAATTTAATATCTTTTTTCTTTAAATTGCAGCTTATAAAATTTATTAATTACCCAAAGAGACAATTTAAAAAATTGGTTTCTTATTTTATACAAAAGTAGAACATTTAGAAATGTAGTTAGAAAGAATATTAAGAATTACTTATAATAATAACAATAGAATTATTATACGTAGAAGAGCAATAATAATATAATCGATATACATCATATATGCATAAAGATAAATTTTGATTTAAATGAATTTAGTAAATTTTGTTTACAATTATAGAAATATCTGTGTAAAGATAAACTATCTGCCAGCGCTATTTCACATTATATATCTCACATTTATGTCTACCCTTTCTCTGTGCCTTGCAAATAAACGCAAGAGCGCTTGTGTACGATAAGGTTTACGGTCTACATTCCGACGAGAATATATATATCTTATCTGCAGCGCGCCTATGCAGAATAGACAACAAGTTTTGTATAAAGTTAACTTACGAAAGAAATTTTCATTTGGAAACTTTTCATCGCTAATCTCACCATCATTCATATTGACATAAATTATACCTTGGATTTCTACTCAGGATTTATCAAAATTACCGGAAATTTTTAATACAAATTTTTAATAAAATGTAATATATTATATACAATCTTCCAGTAATAATGGATGAGAAAGGGCACAGATCATGTAATAAACGTTGCATTTTTTAATTGTAACTTCTGTATAACTTCTTCGATACTTGTCATCGTAATTCTTTCGTCTATTTATTGCGTAATCATGTAAAGTTGTCGCATTAATGTCATGGGTAAGACAATAAAAATTACGTTAAAAAAATAAAAAGAAGAAAGAAATAGGATTTTAGATTTGTTCATTCATGTGGTTTTAATTAACAGGATTTTACCTCTGTCCGTTATTGATATAGAAAAGTCTAACGATTTTTTTATATACTGCTGCTGAACTTTCGTCTTTCATCTGGATATTAATAAAAGTTTTTATCGTATTTTTTTGCAATGATAGTTATACTGATACTGCATCCTTCTATGCGCACATGTTCTTTAGTAACGGATAATATCAGTATAAATTATTATATTTTATTTTATAAATGTTCAGAGATACTTGATATACTTGAAGATACTTTATACATTAGAAGGGGGTAAAATTATTAGATGATTGGTATGGTTTATAAAAGAAATAAAATCTTGTATAACGATTAAAATAAAACGGTTACCATCTAATAAGCATAATAATTAAATATAATAACTTTTTAATATTTCCTTTTTCGTTTACTTTTTCTCTAGTACTTTTTCCATTTGTATGAATGTTTTGCATGCATAAATATATAACAATACTTTAATTATTGTTTCAGCCTGGAAGTGATGCCTACGCTTTCGTGGAGTTCGAGGATCACGTAACAGCTTCCGCAGCACTGACGACTCTCAATCAGCGATTTTTTCTGGAAAAGGTATGTGACATTTATTGCATTTATCCTGCAACTCTTGACAATTCTTTTAGCTGCCATTCTTCTTAGATTAGCAATTCAACTTTATTTTTTTAATTAAATATTCAGATGTTATATTGAAATATGGCGGAAGACAAATATGCTAGTTTAGTAAAGTTTATTGAGTTACAACTTATAAATACAATTGTAAATTTACGTAGAATAGATAGACTGCGTTTGACCATGCCTTTCTCTCCCTTTTGCCGCTTTGGTCTTTCCTCTCACGTTCTCCTTCGTCTTCCTGCATCATATTCGAATTCCATGTGCAGTTAAAGTTCGCCGGTTGACGGTTACCAGTAGTTCGCGGGGAACGTCGGCGGCGGTTGCGAGTGAATCAACGATGGTAGCGCGCAAGGACAAGTCTGCGGTCGGGGGTGAAGCGGGGCCGTGCTCAAGGGGTCCGCTAGAGGTTGGGAGAAGGTATTGGGATCCGGCTGGAATAGCTAATGCTCGAATATGTCATAGTTTGGTGGGATGTGGTCAGAATTATACATGCTACACGATATATACGCCAAGTTACTTCATTCTCCTCCATTGCTCTCCTATTACCATGCACCTCCCGCCGCTTCTTCTCCTATACTCTTACCCCCGGTCTCACCGCCGTCTCTCTCGTTCCCCATGCCTACCGCACCCGCTCATCTCTACGGTCCTTCCTGACCTCGCTTCCTTCTCCCGCACGCGGCCTTCGCGACCTCCATTTCACACACCCCACCACCATCAACACCCTCCAATTCGCCATCTCACCGCGACATATATCGTAGCCCGTAACGCGGAGAGTTACTCGGTTAGTTTAGATTCGCTCAAGCAAGTTTTGATGTCGTGCACGCCTATCCGCGCGATCCTCTCCGACCGCCTATCCCCTGGCCACCGAACATTCTTCGGCAACCCTGGTGCTACCTTCCATGAGTCACTCGCTAGCAAGGTTCCTGGTAGGTTTCTCTCTCTCTGTCTATCTATCTATCTAGCTCTATGTTTCTCTTTCCCTCTTTCTTCCTCTCTCCCTCTCTTCCCCATTCGCTTTCTGTCCCACTTTTCCTCGAGCCTCCGTCTTCTCTAAAGAACCGTCAAGTTCGCTATTACCGCCGACACATTACTAATGCCGAACTGGTCGTAATAGATTGGATGCCTGGAACTTGGATATGCCAACTAATGTGGCAGACTAACCCCTTTCGCTCGTCATTCTCCCCTCGCTCTCTGCATCACCCACCACCTCTACGTTTCTGTGTATGTCGCACTTCAGCGAGCGTAAGTAGAGCGTGATCGTGCCGTACTAGCCAAACTTTCTTGAAAAATGGTTGCTCCTTATAGTTCCTCATTTGAGCTCGAATATACTGATTTATAGCAAGAGAAATAGTCCTTTTCAAATTCCATTTGAAATTTTTTTACAAACATTGCGGATCAAAATAATATTAATGATCTAATTATTCATAAAATGCAATATAACTGAAGAATTTAACGACAATAAGTGAAGAAATTAACTTGAATTAAGTAAAATATAGAATTCGCTATTCTTCCCAGCAGCGATAATCGCGGGAACAATCTCCTTTCGTGCCGAGTAGACTTCTTATTTCTCATTAGGACCTCGCGAGATTTCTGGCGTCGTTGAGAATAAAATTCTTACAAACCTCGCCAGCAACCTGGCTGAAAGGAATTCGGAAGTAAGTCGGAGCAGAAGTTCGGCCAAAAGAAGAATTTCTTATGCGCAACGGAATACCTATTCCGCATTGCGGTCCTAAGCGTGCAGCCGAGCGGCGCGATCGCTAAGGAAAGCGCGCCGGCATTTCGCTATGTAACGAGGGGAATTAACCCCCAAGTTTAAGCGCGATACAGCCGCCGACTTTACTTTACTTACCTACCCGTGTCCCACACCACTGAATTTTACACCCCCTTCTCGCCGCCGCTACCCCGCTACTGTTTCCCTCCCGTTTTCCGCAAGCCCCATACAGCCCAGTACAGTCTCTGCGTCGCTCGTTAGCTCGAATTATACTTGCACGTGACTTCGCCAGAAACGCTATACCGGACGCGATCGTGCGTGGCGAGTAATTCCCCGCCGGGGCTTATTAATATGGCGCGCCTCGTTTCTCAATCTGCAGCGTTTAATTTTCAGCCGATCCGCGCATCAGAGGGTGCTAGGTATTTCAACTGATGTGACCGTAGCGAGCCCGCGAAACAATGTAGGGGCCTTTGTGTAAACGACATTACGGTTGTGTTGTTGCAACGCGAATAGCCCGCTGTTTACCTCATTGTATTCGATTACGATGCCGGAGGTAATTAGCTCCGGCGGTAATGGTAATCGATACCGATAGTATCAATTACCTACGCGTGGGCGAAACATTTGTCTTTCTTGCTGATAATGTATCGAAACGTCGATTGCTCGGGAACTTTACACCGTAATGTACCGGCTGTAAATAGCTCCCAAGTACGGAAGTAAGGAAGATGTAAATCCTCCCCCGGCTGTTTGCAGAAACTTATTGGCTGTCACGCTGATGTTTCTAATTTTCACTCACAGCTCTGAATGATGATGCATCGTTCGTTGATGGCCTCCTATTTTTTTAACGAATTATTAGATTTCTCGTTATTATATAAAAAACGACGCGTTGTGTAAAAAAGATATTTTGGGTAATCGTCTTGGATAATTTTATTCTATTGATGAAACCACTTTAAAATAGTCTATACGATGTAATTATATGGAAGTTTGATAGAACTAATGTGGCAATTTCGGGATAAATAATTACATGTATTCTTAACTTTATAGATAAACAATTGCTATTAATGGAATAAAATTTAAAATACAATATGTATTATAATATTAAATAATGCTCACATTGTTTTAATTAATTTAATTATTTTTTGCATGCATCTTTTAAAAGTACAAATTGGTTGCTGTAATGCATCCATATACGTATAATTGAGTCATTATTTAATTAACTACAGTATACTACGATTTGGTAAATACTGGCATCAAATAACAAATAGATGGCTTCCCAATTCTATTCTGTGATGTTCACAACGTGGACGCAGATGGTAAGAAGAGGACAGTAGGTATATATGATCTCGTAACTTTAGCTTGGCTTTACTCTCCGCCTTGTTTATGGATATCATCGTTGTCTTGTTTGTGAATAATACAGCGTGCTTCCTAAACGAGAAGCTTGTACACGGGTTGGTTGACAATTGCACCAATCTCTTAACAAGAGCAATCGAGGATATAGCACCGGATGCTGATATCTTCTCTAGTTTAGATACACATTCGTGGAGTGTGCGGAACATCCTAGCAACAGAAATCAATTACTGTTTCAATAAGCGTATGAAACATTAGTTTTGTAAAATTTGAACAAATAAATTTCAAAAATTTTTAATTAAACATCGTAACATTCTAACTTCATAAAAACAAAGTATTTAAAAACTTCAATATATTAATATCTTTTATTGTGCAATGCGATAATATTTAATTACGTAATAAAAATTTAGTAGTATTTTATTCTGTTGCTAATATTTCTACTCGACTTTAAGTTAAAGCGATATTACGCCTTAAATGTAAGAAACGATTTATGGTATAGCACGCCTTCACTCTTTCGGAACAATGCGTTCAAAAAGAAGCGTGGATGGAAGCGTGTTTACTAGCGTTACGCTCTTTGTACTCGATGGCTGGTGATGTAACGGTTGACAATCTGTGCTAACGCTTTGACAGAGAATGTGTCGAAGTTATGAATGGTAGAAGCCAATCTCCGCGGGTGGATGGGTATTGTACCGCGCGTCGTGCCTGCGATGTTTTGTCTCCTCAGTTGCCCTCGAAAATCTTTCAGCCATTCTTCGGTCAACTCACACACCCGATAGAAATCTGACAAAATGATATTTCATCTGCCGTAAAGAAAGCTATCAAATATAAACAAAATCTATCTATTGAAGCAATGTAGAAAGATATGCTGTGTAAAGAATTGAGTATGAAACTTATAGAACACAATCATAATATGAGATTAGAATGAAGATGAAGATTCTAAATTAAAGTTACGAATTAACGTTTTAATAAACACATAGTACTCTTAATATTATATTTAAAAAATTAAGTACATCTTAAGGCACGTGATACCTATACATAAAGTCTTTTCGAAATGGTTTTTTATTACTCTAGACGTGCAGTATACAAGTAGTAACCCACAAAACGAGAAGGTAGAGAAAGCAGAGTACATAGGACGAATGAATTTCCAAAAGCACGTACTCCTTCAGAACATAGGAAGATACGTCAGCTATGAATATCGACGAGAAGCAGATACGAGTCGCAGAAACGGAAATCAGTTGGGAGTACCAAGTTACGATTGAGATTTAAGTTATTGACAAGCTACTTTGGCGAACCTCCACTGAGATCTGGCTGGTTTATCCCGGAGGCCCACTGCCTTTTGATTTCCCTGAGGACCCAACCCTTGAGATTCTATTCTTCTGCCCACAATGAGGCCCTGCTTTCATGTTACTTCATTTCCATTGCAAACGTCTCACTTTCTCTAGTTCTCGTGTACTGACGTGTCATATGTACGTAGGTCAGTAAGCTTCTAATTATCATAAATTTCTAAGTTTAAAATATTACATCAATGTTAAAATGTTAGTTTAAATACCTTCGATAGAATGTTAACATCACTTATTTATATTTTATCGCGGATTCTTGCTGTATAAATATCGTGCGACATCAAGTAGGAAACATATTCTATATTTAAGAAACGAATTGATTTAATGAATACTGCTGCACTTACGTATTGAAGTACAAGTATAGGGAAGAAGGTATTAAGATATTTTTAAGATGAGACAACGGTTCGATCTAAAAACTGTACGAATTCCTCGTGATGGCAATAATAATGACAGTAATAAGCTCACGAACCGCTTTACTTCAATAATGACATTCGAATTGGTACGTTGGTCGCCTTGTCTCCCTAATAAAACAGAAGTTGCTGGCAATTCCATCGCTTATGGTTTCA